TGCACCTGGCCGCCTTATGGGTTTTTTTTATACTTTGGGTTATCATTCCACACTAGTTTATTTGGTTGCTCAGATTGGTAAGCTTTGGCTACTGGGAATCCTGTCGCTTGATTCCTGGGTCCCTTTGCCATACCCCATCGTTGCAGGGTTTTTATTTCTGAGCATCGCTTTCCTTTCTGGCAACACAAGATGTTCCAGGCTCATCTTCTGTATTTCCTGCTCAGTGGTACAGTAGCCATTTCTCCAAGGAGCCATGGTTCCTTTTATTAGAGAATGCTTGCTAGGAAGCGAGATCTGACTGCGAGGCACTCTCATTGCTAGTACGTGCTTCTAGGGGCTCTCAACTGACAAAGCAAGGAAACGAATGTCTGTGTACTGGCCTCTGTATGTACACATCCATAAATATTTCTATGTGAAACCATCCACAACGATATTAAGCTAAACATGAATTACCACTGATATCTCCAACTCTAATCCATTATTACCATATGGATCATTTTAGCTTCCTCCTCTTCCTGTAATTTTTTTGCATTTTTTATTGAGCTGTAATTCACATACCATAAAATGTGCTCTTTTGAAGTATCAAATTTAGTCGTTTTAATGTATTCACAAGGTTGTGCAACCATCACCATGATCTAATTGCAGACCATTTTTACCATTCCACAAAGAAACCCTGCACCTGTTAGCAGTCACTCTCCCATTCCATCCTTCCCTCAGGCCCTAGCAACTGCTGATCTACTTTCTCTGTGGATTTAGCTATTCTCGACATTTGATATAAATGAAAGCATACAAGATGGGGCCTTTTGCAAGCAGCTTATCTCATTTAGCTTAATACTTTCAAGGTGCATCTACATTACGGCATGTATCAATACTTTATTCCTTTTCATGGCTGAATAACATTCCGTTGTATGGGTAACCACACTTTGTTTATCCATCATCAACTGATGGACATTTAGGTTCCTTCCATATTTTAGGAATGCTGCTATCAACATTCACATGCAAGTTTTTGCATGGACTAATGTTTTTGTTTCTCTTAGATACATACTGAGGAGTGCAACAGCACAGTTGTGGTAAATATGCGTTTAACATTTGAGGAATTGCCAAAATGTTTTCCAAAAGAACTGTACCATTTTACATTCCCTCCAGCACTGTATGCAGGGTCTAATTTCTCCAAATCCCCATGAACCCTTGTTGTTTTCCATCTCTTTCATCAAAGCCATCCAAGTGGACAGGAAGTAGTTATCTCATTGTCGCTATTCACATTTCCCTAAAGATAAATGATGTTGAGTGTCTTTTCACATGGTTATTGGGCATTTGTATATCTCCTTTGGAGAAATGTCTTTTCACATCCTTTGCCCACTTGTTAATTGGGTTGTCTTTTGGTTGAGTTGTAAAAGCTCTTTAAGTTTTCTAGATATTAGACCCTTATTAGATATATGATTTGCAAATATTTTCTCACATTCCATGGGTTGTCTTTTCATTTTTTATAACGTTATTGGGGCACAAAAGTTGGTAATTTTGATTGAGTTCAGTTTATTTATTTTTAGTTTAGCTGTCAAACATTTTAAAGAAATAAGTAACTGTACATTTTTTCTGGCAAAGTATCAGGTTATTCAGTATTTTTATCTTCCTTCCAAACACGGCAGTAATTTTTATATGCTTTAATTTTCTACTGATCTCCCTATCTTGACATTTTTTTATTTTTAGTTTCACTTTTAACATTAAAAAGTTTTCTTAAAAAATCAATAGTTAATTCAATTTACCAAAATACTGGGGTTTTCTTGTTATCATTTTTTAATGTTTCTTTCCTCCTTTCTTTTGCTGAAACATACCTTGTTTCAGCAGTTCTTTCAGTGAAGATTTAGACACGGTAAATTTTTAGTTTTATATTCCAAACATGTCTTTTTTTGCCCTCAAACTTAAATGAAAGTTTAGCTAGGTATAAAACTTGCGGTTCATAGGTATTTGCTGTCAGGATTCAGAAGACATTACTTTTTGAGTCTGTTATTGTTAAGATGCCTGCTATCTGTGTGATTATCATTTCTTTGTAATATTTTTATTGCAACTGTCTTTCTGTGGTTTTTCTCTGTGTTTTCTGTACCACAATTTTATTGAACCATGTATCAGTATGAATTAACTTTCATGTTTCCTGTGTAATACTTTTTATCTAAGGACCTGTGTCTTCCTTCTTTCTGGAAAATTTCTGTGATTTCTTCAAATTCTTGTCACTATTATTTTCTACTTTCTCCTCCACCAGCTCTTCTAAACGTCTGCTATTCTTAAGCTATCCTTTGAATTATTTGAACTCAAATCAAGAGCATGTTCCTATTGCTTATGTCTGAGTCTCTGTATTGTCTTCTGGTTCATTTTCTCAGTTTTTCCTCTCAGTTCACTAATTTCCTCTTTGATTCATGTATAGAATTGATCTTATTTATTTATTTTATTATTTTTTATAGTGATGGAGTCTTGCTACATTGCCCAGACTGGTCTCCTACTCTTGGCCTCAAGCGATTCTCACACCTTAGCCTTTCAAAGTACTGGGATTATAGGCACAAGCCACAATGGCTGGCCTATCTCATTTACTGAGGGTTCTTTTTACCTTAAATTTTAATGGGTATTTCTTTTGTGTCCACCACTTCTAAATGTTCATTAGTGCCTACTCTCATTCAATTTATGCCTATTTTGTTTCATAACATATTTTTATGGGTGTTGGTCCTTTATTAAGGATCCTTTGATATCTCAAATGCATTTATTTGACATATTTGTTAGTTTTAAATAATTAATTTCATCTGGAGTGAAGTTATGTTCCAATTGAAGGGTTCATAGACTCCCACGTGATTTCTTCCTGGCAGCAGACTTTAATTGCAGGGTCAGTGCGAGTAAGGGCTATGTTTTTTGTTTTGTTTTCCCTCATTCTTTCTTTCTTGACTAACTCCCCTCTCTCTAGTGGTTTTCATTATCTGCACCTTTACCCCCATTCAGGACCAGGCCTTATAATAGTAGTTTAGAGCCCTACAGGATAAACGTTTGGTTCCTAGACTTGAGCATGTGTCTCTCCTTCCTTCCTAGACTCTCTGGTTGCAACAAGCCTTAGTGCAGTGATGTGCTGGAAACAGCTTCTACCTACTCATTAGGACCAATCATTATGTTTTAAGGAATGTTGTGAGCTGGTTGTTAAGTGACCATCATTAATAATCAGATTATATAAACTCATCATTAAATAAATTATATTAAAAAGCAAAGGTAATACATGCTCAAAACTGATCACTTGGTAATTCTTTTGCTAAATATTGCTATGATCCATGCTCGTGAGCCTGTTGGCAGCTTTTGTATCTATGTCGTAGAAACAGATCTGATATATATGTAATGAGCACTACTGGGCATCTCTTCTACATCTGGTTCAGTGACATCACCTTGGCAACTTGAAATCAGCCACAGCCACGATGGGAGTATTTACACCATGGAAATTGACAAATATGACAGATCAGGTCTTTAAAAAAATAATAACGTGTTAAACATTTACTAGCCTACTATTTCCCCAGCCCCAGGCAGCAGCAGCCTCCTTCCATAAATGGAGGCCCCCACAGCAGCCCCTCTTCAGCCTCCTTCCATAAACGGAGTTCTTCAGCCTCCTTCCATAAACGGAGGTGCCCACAACAGCCCCTCTTGCAGCAGGGAACCAGGCTTTATTTTCCCCATTTTCTCCTGAAAATGCTTTCAATCTCTGTGATCTTCTAAGAGCTGAACTCCTGGTGGCATTTTACTCCCACTCATGCCTTTGCCTCTCCGTTTTGTGTCTGGCCTGCGGAGCTATTTGTTTTGTTTTTGAGCCTACTTATGTCTTTGGGTTTTCTGTGTTATATTTTATCCATTACGGCTGTTTGGAGCAGAGGGGCTTCATCAAATGTCAAAATGCTCTGCTATCTTAATTAGAAGGCCATAAGCGTTATTTTATTGATTGATTGATTCATTGAGATGGAGTCTCACCCTCTCGCCCAGGCTGGAGTGCAGGGGCACAATCTCAGCTCATTGCGACTTCTGCTTCCCTGGTTCAAGCAATTCTCCTGCCTCAGCTTCCCAAGTAGCTTAGATTACAGACACCTGCCACCAGGCCCGGCTAATTTTTTTGGATTTTTGTTTATTTATTTTATTATTTTACTTTTTGAGACAGAGTCTCACTCTGTCACCTAGGCTGGAGTGCAGTGGCACGATCTCAGCTCACTGCAACCTCCACCTCCTGGGTTCCGGTGATTCTCCTGCCTCAGTGTCCCAAGTAGCTGGGACTACAGGTGTTCACCACCGTGCCTGGCTAATTTTTTTTTTTCGCCTGGCTAATTTTTGTATTTTTAGTAGAGACAGGGTTTCACCATGTTGGCCAGGCTGGTCTCGAACTCCTGACCTAAGGTAATCCACCTGCCTCGGCCTCCCAAAGTGCTGGGATTACAGGCCTGAGCTACCATGCCTGGCCAATTTTTGTATTTTTAGTAGAGATGGGGTTTCACTATGTTGGGCAGGCTGGTCTCGAACTCCTGACCTCAAGCAGTCCACCCATCTCGCCCTCCCAAAGTGATGGGATTACAGACATGAGCCACCATCCCTGGCCATAAACATTATTTTTAAAAGTTATTTTTATAACTTCTGTCATCCAGATATTTTTACAGGCCTCAACATGTTTTCTTCAGTCTCCTTTGTCTCCTCTCAGTCATTCACTTCATCTTCCCTCATTTTCTTCCCTAGTGCTTCTTTGTACTAGCTATGACAAATATGTTAATAATATATTGTATATATAAATTATCCTTACAGAGGTTCTGGACATCACATACACTTTCTATTTGTTGATTATATACCGAATAATACTATACATTTAATATGCTAATTCCACATGATGGTATAATAACATATTTAATATATTACTGTTCACAGAATAAAACACTGGAGACCCCAGGCTACCTAGTGGAAGTCCTCAGCCCCCTAATGTCTCTTCTTTCCATTCCCTGCAGGTGTCAAAGCCGTGTTCTCAGGCCACTACCACAGGAATGCTGGGGGCACCTACCAGAACCTCGACATGGTGGTGTCATCCGCCATCGGATGCCAGCTGGGCCTAGACCCCCACGGGCTCCGAGTTGTGGTGGTCACTGCTGACAAAATTGTTCACCGATACTACAGTCTGGATGAGCTGAGTGAGAAAGGAATAGAAGACGATCTCATGGATTTGATAAAGAAAAAATGACGGTCTTTCCTGTTCCGTTCACTTTTTACTTGCACTCTTTTTTTATTTTCTGCCAGAAACAGCAGCTGCACACAACCCCTTGCTGAAATACAAAAATAGCCCAGGCAGGTTTGTGAATTTATGTTCTTCTGCATAACTCAGAGAGCTGGTGCCCTACCCTGAATTATGTTCAAAATAGAATTGCATTTCCTTTAAAATGGAGCAAGAGAACCTAGAAAAAAGTTTTAAAAATGATATTAGACTATCTCTGCATGGATGTTTGAGTAAATTCTCCTAATGCTGTGTTTCTCAACTCCACTTTTGAATTGAATTGTTTTCTGGTCGGCATACAATCAAAGCCTGCCTGTCAACCTCAATTCCTATCAGATATCCAAGTATGATTTTTGATAATTCCTTAAACAAACTATACCTGATTGTATTAAATTGTGACTGTGATTCCCAAATTGCTGGGCAAAACAAACTTCATCTCCTGCCCTTCCCAGCAGAATGAACAGCTGTATTCCTTATTATGAGAGCCATGCAGACTTAGGTAAACAAGGAGCCAAGGAGCCACCTTTCGCTGTTAAATTCTGAGACTTCTGTTATTGCTGATGATAGGAACAGAATGCAGTTCATACAGCTCAGAGCTTAAATTTGCCTTCTTGGGTGCCTAGGAAAGTCACCTTTGCACATAAATTGGCCATTTATCAAAATCTCATCCCTAGAGACTGAAACCGCAGCTCTAAAACGCCCCTTCTCCAGTCGCTGGGCAGCACATTTCAAATTTGTTCACATCCACATTCTGTAGCCACTTTGCAGATGGTTGGACTCATGGGATCAGAATCCCCCTTAATTTATGTGACTCTTAATTATGTCCACTTTGACAGAAAAAGTGGGAATGTATGCCGAGCTCTCAGAAGAAACAAAGCAGTTTAGGTCTTTGTGGAGAAATGGAAAAAAAAAAAAAAAAAGAAACAAAGCAGAAATTCTGGTGGGACCAAAACGGTACTTTCAGCCACATCCTCTAAATTGGCCCTGATTTTGATTAAATGTACTAATGCAATATCCCTTGACCAAAGAGCGTAGCTTATTTCAAATCAGCATTGTTTTTATGTAACCTGTTTTACTGCATCTTCCCAGCAGCTCCTGACCACTGCTAGGAAGCGGTCAGGCCGTTTACAGCCATTGTTCTGCTGGACAAATAACCTAGGTACTAGGGACTCCAAATCCTGGCAGGGAAAATGTACAGGGTTACGAAACAGCACTCAGTGGGCATTCAATAATGCTAAAATAACTTCTAAAGCTGGTTACCCATGAACTGCAAAGTCCATCAAATGAAAAGACTTTCTTGTTACAAAGTTTTAGTCAACGTAGCAAAACCATGGGAAATTAAATAGATAATTAACTATATAAATTCATAAGAAACAAAAGACGAGAAGTTAATTATATGATAGATTGGTGACACCACAGTTCATTGTTATGTGGCACAAGAAAATTAAAAATTTTTTTGAACAAGAATGCTCTTCTTTTAGTGTTTCACTGCAATCTTGTTTTGCATTTGTTTCTTTACAACAGGTGTAGGTATAGGAAGTCAAGAAAAGGAGTTCAGTAAAGGTCATAGCTACTAACAACCACATATTGGGCCAGACACAGTGGCTCACGTCTGTAGTCCCAGCTACTCAGGAGGGTGAAGCAGAATGATCGCTTGAACTCAGGAGGCAGAGGCTGCAGTGAGCCGAGATCACGCCACTGCACTCCAGCTTGGGTGACACAGGGAGACTCCAGCTCAAAAAAAAAGAATAAAAATACAAAAATTAGCCAGATATAGTGGCTCACACCTGTAATTCCATCTACTCGGGAGGCTGAGAGAGGAGAATTGCTGGAACCCAGGAAATGGAGGTTGTGGGGAGCCAAGATTGTGCCATTGCACTCCTGGGCAACAGAGCAAGATTCTGTCTCCCCCCCCCAAAAATAAAAAATAAAAAACAAAAATAAAAGCGTGTGGTGACACTTGGATCATAAACACAGAGGGCTTCATTTCCAGGATGGGGTCTTCTCCAGGTGCAAATGAGAAGGAGCCCTCATTGTGGTCTTACACACAAAAAATGCTCTGAATTGTGGCACATGGCTTTGCCGAAGGATGATGTAAAAGTAATGAAAATGAAACTTACCAAATTGCCTTCCCCAAAAACTTAATAAGTAAAAGAACTGATTTAGAAGTACCCCAAGAATATGCTGAGAAAAGGAAATCACATCCAAGGATGATTGGATAAAGAACATGGGGTATGTATACACAGCGGAATACTATTCAGCCATAAAAAATAATGAAGCCATGTATTTTGCAGCAACATGGATGGAACTGGAGGCCATTATCTTAAGTGAAATAACTTAGAAGTGGAAAGTCTAATACCTCATGTTCTTACTTATAACTGGGAGGTAAATAACGTATACCTGTGAACATAGAGTGTGAAATAGACATTGGAGACTCAGAAGGGTGGGAGGAGAGTAAGGGGTGCGAAATTACCTAATGGGTACAATGTACACTGTTCTGGTGTTGGTTGAAGGAAAAGCCTGGACTTCACCACTTTACACATATCCATGTAACAGAACTGCACTTGTACACCTTAAATGTATCCAAATTTAACTTTTTAAAAGGAAGAATCATAATATATTCTCACCACTTTTTAAGCAAACAGCAGTATTTCCCAGTAGGAAGAGGTTCAGAAAGAAATCGGGAAATGTTTTTGTAGATGAGCATTTTGTTATTCTGATGGGTCATGACTAGTGTGTTCACTTGTGGTTCCTTTGCCTTTAAAAAAAAGGGAATGATATTAAAATAAAAAATAAGTGCCTTATACTGTGAAAAATGGTAAAAGGACTCCTGATTCTAAGTGCTATGGTTTTGAATGTTTATTGTGTTTTAAGTGCTTTGGCTCAGATCATGTGGCCAAGGTCACTCAGCTCATCTTGACGGAAAAGGAATTGGATGTAGATGGCCCGAGGCTCGAGTCCATGCTTCTCAACACTGTCCTGTCTTGGAAAACATTTCTCAGGGATGAGAGGTTGTGTCAGCTCAGCCAGTGGCAACGCAATGACTACGGTATTCAGCACCTTAGGCAGCGTTGGCTGGAGGCCGGGGGATTTCCTTCCAGCTCTGCAAAGCCTAGACCAGACCCTGATTGTACTAAGTTCAGGGGGCTGAAGCTTTTCCAAAGAGCAGATGGTTCCAGGGGGAGGATTTTTACTGGAGGAGATTTAGAAACCAAACTGAACCATTATGAGTGATGGGATGCAGTCCTGTCTGCCTCAGTAACTGTCCTCAGCTCTAGCAGATGATGCTTCATTCCATGTCTGGAGTTTCCGTCCTAGGGTGTAGGAAACCACCACAAGCTGTCTCAAGGCAAGGAATGTCACCTAATGCTCCCCTTCCCAATTAATCACTTATTGGAGGCAAAAACAAAAACACAAGGGCCTGCTACAGGGGGAAAGTTTTTAAAAGTGACCTCAAGTTGGATTGCAAAGGCACATGTGACTTTGGGAATGGGGCTGAGATATGATCATTTATTTTTTACAAGAAATAATTTTATCTCACATCTTCAGTCATGTCTCTCCTAAGATTGGGGAGAATGGGGAAAAAGTCTAGTAAGCTTTATGGGACTAGCAACTGAACGTTTTATCCTACCTTGTGATTTTCAGTATTATGAGATTATTGGTCACTTGCAGAGTTACAAGGCAAGCACTCATTTTAAGCCTGAATAAGACTAGGGCCATTGACCTTATACGCCTGTAAAAGATACTGTGGTGTATGTAACTGTAGAAACGGTATACACACTGTACTTTAATACTCTAGTCTGTATTCCAGTGCAGAATCTTTTGAGAAACAGTTGCAAAAGCTTCATTTGCATTTACTTGAACTCTTATTTTTTTTTTTTTTTGAAACAGGGTCCCGCAATATTATGTTGAGCTGGGAAAAAGAGAAGATTTAGGAGTAAATTGCCAAGGCAAGTTCAATTAAAAGCTTTCTGTAATAGACACCAGGGATTTTTTATTCAGATAACCTCAACAGTTTTGATTGCACATGTAACATAGTATTCAACAGGTAATACTGATTTTTATAACTTCATAGAATACTCTCAAGCTATGGGAGAGCTCTTATGTATTTTTTAATGAGTGTGTGTGTGTGTGTGTGTGTGTGTATATATACACACACAGTAAAAGTGGAAAATTCTTTTCTTAGAATAATGATTTCAGCGTTTATCTAGAAAAGATTTTGCTGACTATATTTTCTTTTTCCATCAATGGATTCTTAAACATCAGTGCATGTTTAAGAATTTTTCCTTTATGTTTTATCTATGTAAATGAAGTTGACTAAATGTGAATAATCATGTTACCCTTCATTATTATGACTGTTACATTTAAGAAGTAGATGTCTTCATTAGAGGGGTTTGCAGCACACTTAATGAATGACCTCTGTGCCTGTCTAGAAACTGGTTTCTTGTTATCATTTTGACATCCGCTAAAACATCACTGCTGAAAGTGGCCTTCCTGCCTGATGTGTCCCCACCCAAATCTTATCTTGAATTGCAATCCCCAAAATCCCCACGTCAAGGGACAGACCTGGTGGGAGGTAGTTGGATCATGGAGGCGGTTTCTCCCATGCTATTCTTGTGATAGTGAGTTCTCACAAAATCTGACGGTTTCGTGTTGGACAGTTCCTCCTTCACACTCTGTCTCCTGTTGCCATGTAAGACATGCCTGCTTCTGCTTCCACCATGATTGTAAGTTTCCTGAGGTCTCCCCAGCCATGTGGAACTGTGAGTCAATTAAATATCTGTCTCTCTCTCTCTCTCTCTCTCTAATAAATTACCCAGTCTCAGGCAGTTATTTATAGCAGTGTGAAAGGGGACTAATACACTGCTCCACCCTGTCTAAGGTTACACTCCTGGTCCTAGCATTGCATCCTCATTCTTTTGCTTGTTTTCTTCAGAGAAATGTCCTTGCTTAATTATCTTTAAGTGTAACCACACACAAACACACACACACACACACACACACACACCAGAATGCAAGCTCCAGACAGCAGGAACTATGTGTCTTACATTTGCCACTTTATCCCCAGCATCTGGAACTGTGCCTAATGGCAGAGAGTTGCTGCTCAAAGAATACTCAGCAATGGATGGTGAGTAAAGCTGTATAGTTGGCCAGCCGCGGTGGCTCATGCCTGTAATCCCAGCACTATGGGAGGCTGAGGCAGGTGTATCATGAGGTTGGGAGTTCAAGACCAGCCTGGCCAAGATGCTGAAACCCCATCTCTACCAAAAATACAAAAATTAGCTGGGCATGGTGGCAGGCGCCTGTGATCGCAGCCGCTTGGGAGGCTGAGGCAGGGAATTGCTTGAACCCGGGAGGTGGAGGTTGTGGGGAGCCGAGGTCACACCGTTGCACTCCAGGCTGGGCAACAGAGTGAGACTCCATCTCAAAAAAAAAATGCTATATAGCTATGGTGAACATCAGTAATCTATACCGATTGTCACTATGAACTCCTAACTGGTAGGGGAGGAAGAAAGGGAAGGAGGTGATATTCCTAAGCCTGGTAATAGTCCTTGTGGGATTGTCCTCAAAGTGAAGTATTGTCAGAAGCTCCATCACTAACTAGCAGCATCATTGCCGTCTTCAGTTCTGTGCTCTCAATGAAGAAATTGGAGGTGATAACAAAAAATGTCCTCCACTTATTAGTAGTAATTATTACTTAGTAGTAATTCTAAGCCTGGTTCACTCAACAAATACTGTGCAGTAACCAAAGCTAGTGAGCCAGACAAGAGAGTGACTCTAGACTGAAGGTTCTATGTGAATATAAAAGAGATGGCTTGAAATACAAGCATGAAACTCAGGAAACAATGAAAACTGCATTGTGGGAGTGCATGGGACATGGGAATGAATAAGATTCCTAGGAAAATCCAGCAGCACTGCGAGATGCCTAAGGAGAGAACCTTGAAACAGATGTTTAGGCAAAAGACAAGAAAGATGGAAGTCACAGAGGAGTAAAGGGGAATCTGAAAACTCCAGGCTGTGCACCCTGAACAAAAATGGAATTGGCTTCATCTGGAGTTCAGTGGTTTAAGCCCCCACCGACCAAACTTCCTGCAGATAACTTTATAGACAAAAATACCTACCTGGCAATATGGAGAGTGAACACGTGCAAGGAACTCAAAACCTTGGTGAGTCTCCTGTCCCCTGCACGTTGTTCTGAGGGCAAACCACAATTGCAAAGCAGCACACCTGAGGTCAATAAAGTTTTTCTCAAAATTCACTTTTTTTTTGACATGGGATCTCCCTGTGTTGCTCAGGCTGGAGTGCAATGGTGCAATCTCAGCATGTGGCAATCTCCACCTCCCAGGTCTAAGCAATCCTCCTGCCTCAACCTCCCAAGTATCTGGAAGAAAAGGCAGGCACCACCACATGCAGCTAATTTTTTGTATTTTTGGTAGATGGAGTTTCACCATGTTGCTCAGGCTGGCCTCAAACTACTGGGCTCATGTGACTCACCTTCCTTGACCTCCCAAAGTGCTGGGGTTACAGGTGTGAACCACCAGGTCTGGCCCAAAATTTACTATGTATTAGAACAGAGATACCAGAGGAAGAAGCCCAGGTCACTGGGGAGTGAGGAGTTCCAGCAGGGAGACAGCTGGGGAGAAGAATCCTCTAATTTGTATGTGAGCTCCACATGAATCTCTTGCTTACCCACAAAGCATGCATGAGCATGACAGAATTGGCAGCACAAGCTTAAAGAATTAAACCAAGATTTGACTCACTGCCCAGAGGAAGCAACAGAGAGCTTACCATTGGAGTCTGATCAAGCTAATTACCTGCAAAAGCCTCAACATTCTTCAGAAGAATATAACTGAATCCCAGCTCTCCACAGTGTATTATTTACCTAGCCCAGGATACAACCCAAAATTGCTTAACATACAACAAAAGCAACAACAACAATAAAAAGAAAGTACCTCACTCTCCAAGGAAAAGACAGTCCACCTTAAGAGGCCCCAGGTGTTAGAATTATCACTCCAGGGGAAAGAGCAGCTACTATAACAAAGCTTTATAAAGTAAAGGAAAATATACCTAATATGAACAAAAAGAAAGGATATCTCCTAGAACATAGAAAAAATGAAAATTTCAGAACTGAAAAATATAATATCTAAAATTTTGAACTTACTGGACAGGCTTAATAGCAGAGTGGAGAAGAGGGAGGAAAGTCAGGGAACAGGAAGACAGATCAATAGAAAGTTTTCACCCTAAAACCCAAAGACAAAAAGGATTTTATTAAGCAAACTTCACGACCCTGTATCAAAAGTCTAAAGTACAGTGATGAGTACCAGAAAGGAAACAGCATGAGCCACAAAAAAATATTTGGAGAAATGATAGCCAACAACTCGTATTTGGTGAAATAAAACAAATGGAAATTTCATATGCTCAACAAACACAAAATATGAGTCACAAGGCAAAATATTACTAGATTGGACTTTATAAAGAATTTGCTCTTCAGTGATATTAGAGAGTGGGAGGCAAGCCTGGAAGAATAAATTCCAGCACATTTATCAGATAAAGGGCTTGTATCCAAAATATGTAAAGAACTGCAGCCTGGGCAACATAGCCATATCTAGAACCCCTACCTCAAGTGATCCGCCCACCTTGGCTTCCCAAAGTGCTGGGATTACAGGCATGAGCCACCGCACCCAGCCAAGCCCTTCTTTCTAGAGACCAGAATGGAGGGAATGGAAAGGGTGATGAGGCTAGGGCAGTGGGTGGAGACCTGGGATAATGTAATTGATCAATTATTTCCTAGACACATGTTCATTTCCTGCTGATTCCTCCCTGAGAGGCACTCTGTGCTGTGTTTCATGGTGAAGCAGGTGAGGCTTTCTGGATTTATGCACAGCTCACCTTGGTCTTGTCAGGAAAGGGCCAGCATCTGTATAGAACGGGTGACATCTGCCTATCATGGAATCCCTGCTTCTGAGCAGACTGTCTGGGTGTGTTCTAGGCAGTGAAGGAGAGCAGATTCAGGATGTAGCCTATTACTGTGATGTGTGAAAGTCTCTCCTTGGTCTTCCAAGCTGTCCTTTCAGGCTTCCACAAAAACAGCTAATAATTTCATCTCATAATATTTTTGAAATACTCTTTGGATTTGCTCTCTTAAAAAGCCACCAAGGAGGCTGGGTACAGTGGCTCATGCCTGTAATCTCAGCACTTTGGGAGGCTGAGGTGGGTGGATCACCTGAGGTCAGGAGTTCGAGACCAGCATGGCCAACATGGTGAAACCCCATCTCTACCAAAATAAAAAAATTAGCCAGGCATGGTGGCACACGCCTGTAGTCCCAGCTACTCCAGAAGTGGAGGCAGGAGAATCGCTTGAACCTAGGAGGTATAGGTTGCAGTGAGCTGAGATCGCAACACAGCACTCCAGCCTGGAGGACAGAGTGAGTGAGACTCCATCTCAAAAATAAATAAATAAATAATAAGTAATAAAAAGCTGCCAAGGCAGGTTTTTGGCTCAGTGGTGCAGTAGTTCATGCCTGTAATCGTAGCACTGTTGGTATTCTGAGACGGGAGGATTGCTTGAGTCCAGGAGTGCAAGACAAGCCTAGGCAACACAGTGAGATCACCCCTCCCATCTCTACAAATATAAAACATTAGCTGGGCATGGTGGCACACATCTGTAGTCCTAGGTACTTGGGAGGCTGATGTAGGAGGATCACTTGAGCCCAGGAGGTTAGGGCTGCAGTGAGCTGTGTTCATGCCATTTCACACCAGCCTGGGTAACAGACCAAGACCCTGTCTCTGAAAAAAAAGAAAAGAAAAAAGGCTACCAAACTGCAATATCACACCCTGAAACCACCTATCTTGGTGTGAAAAGCTATTAAAATGACATGGTATTGTATTTACCGTATAGGTCCCTGTTTTCCTGTTCTCTTATGTCGTGGGATGAGATCCAACATGATACCCTGAGGGCAGGAACACCGTCTTCATGGCTGCTGGGCCTTCATTGCCTGGCCTGGGACTTGGCCCTCCTTATAAATGTGTGTTGCTTCATTGTGGCTTCCTCTGTGCTGTGTTTCATTGTGAAGCAGGTGAGGCTTTCTGGATTTAAGGCTTTTCTGCTCAGCAGCCCTCCCAACACCATCAACCTTCCCTCCAATTATTTGTCCATTCCAAAGACATTTGCCGAGGAAGTACTGTACGCACCCTGTGCCTGGCCCTGGTGAACAGAGAGCAGCCTTAGTCTCCAGCAAGACGACTTAAACACTGCTGTTTCCTGTGTCCCGGGCAAACTTCTCTGCTCCCTGACGTTCCTGGGAAACCTGACCAACACCAATCACATTCATTTCTATGTATGTGATGACATTTCCCACATAGAATGATTTTAAGACAAGATGGGAACTTCTGTGCGGGCTGGACAGCATGACAGTGTCCCCAGAACAACTCATACATACCATTTCCAAACTTTAATTCATCTCCCTTCTCCCTTCCAAAAGCACTTTCTCTTGTTTTTTGTTTTTTGTTGTTGTTGTTGTTGTTTTTCAATTTTTTTCTTTTCTTTCCTTTTATCGAGACAGGGTTTACCTCTGTCACCCAGGCTGTAATTCAGTGGCACGATCTCAGCTCACTGCAACCTCTGCCTCCCAGGTTCAAGCCATCCTCCCGCCCCAGCCTCCCCAAGTAGCTGGGACTACAGGCACCAACCACCATGCCTAGCTAATTTTTGTGGGGTTTTTTTTTAGTAGAGACAGGGTTTTGCCATGTTTCCCAGGCTGGTCTTGAACTCTTAACCTGGTGATCCACCCACCTCAGCCTCCCAGAGTGCTGGCATTACAGTCATGAGCCACTGTGCCTGTCTTGTATTTCCCTGTCTTGACAAGTAGCAGTAGACCCTACCTATGTGCCTTAAAGCAGAAACTCAGGTTCCGCCTCTTTCCTGTGCTCCAATGTCTCACAACTTTCAGTTGCTACGGCTTCAGGACTCTCCTTGGAGAGGCCGCCTCCTCAGGGCCTCCTTGCCTTAGGCGTTTCCTGGTGATGTTCCTTAGTTAGAACAGCCCCCACAGGCTGGGTCCGGTGGCTCATGCCTGTAATCCTAGCACTTAGGGAGGCTGAGGAGGCAGATCACTAGGTCAGGAGTTCGAGCCCAGCCTGACCAACATGGTAAAACCCCATCTCTATTAAAAATACAAACAAAAAAAAATTAGCTGGGTGTGGTGGTGTGCGCCTGTAATGCCAGCTATTTGGGAGGCTGAGGCATGAGAATCACTTGAACCCAGGAGGCAGAGTTTGCAGCGAGCCAAGATTGTGCCACTGCACTCCAGCCTGGCAACAGAGCAAGACTCCGTCTCAAAAACAAACAAACAAACAAATAAAAAAAGAACAACCCCCATCCCACCACTCTCCCCAAACTTCTTTCAGGGCCCAGCGCCAGTCTCCCCTGCTCCCTGACTCCCCCGGCCATACCTGAGTACCTCCCCAAGCACTGCCAGGAGGGCAGCACAGTACAGAAGTTTCTAGTCCACTCCTCTACGAGCTGCGTTTATAGTGAGCACACAAGACACAAAACGTCACCTCCAGGGCAGGGTGTGTCTCCTCAATTCCAAGATGTACATTGTTTTTCACGTTTTACTGTTTCTGAAATCAAAACTCAGGCTCACCATCAGTGGCCTCCTTAACACTGAGAAAATGCTAGAAAGATAGATACACTTCAAAATGGGTAGGGCATGGTGGCTCATGCCTGTAATCTCAGCACTTTGGGAGGCCAAGGCAGGTGGATCACTTGAGGTCAGAATTTCAAGACCAGACTAGCCAACATGGTGAAGCCCCATCTCCACTAAAAAGTGAAAAAGAGGTCGGGCACAGTGGCTCACGCCTGTAATCTCAACACTTTGGGAGGCCAAGGTGGGTGGATCAGAAGGTCAAGAGATCAAGACCATCCTGGCCAACATGGTGAAACCCATCTCTACTAAAAATACAAAAATCAGCTGGGTGTGGTGGCATGCACCTGTAGTCCCAGCCACTTGGGAGGCTGAGGCAGAAGAATTGCTTGAACCCAAGAGGCAGAGGCTGCAGTGAGCCACCACTGCACTCCAGCCTGGTGACAGTGCAAGATTCTGTCTCAAAAAAAAAAAAAAAAAAAAAACAGCCAGGCAAAGTGGTGGTGCATGCCTGTAGTCCCAACTTCTCAGGAGGCTGAGGCAAGAGAATCACTTGAACCCAGCTCATGCCTGTAATTTCAGCACTTTGGCAGGCAGAGGCAGGTGGATATCACCTGAAGTCAGGAGCTCGAGACCAACCTGGCCAACATGGTGAAACCCTATCTCTACTAAAAATACAAAAATTAGTCGGCATTACCTGTCTTGCATGTTCACTACATGCACAGCTCTTAGAGGAGTGGACTAGAAACTTCTGCACTGCCTGGCAGTGCTTGGGGAGACGCTCAGGTATGGCTGGGGGAGTCAAGAAGTGGGTGAAAGGTTGAGGAGGCAGAGGTTGCAGTGAGCTGAGATCATGTCATTGCACTCCAGCCTGGGCAACAGAGAGACTGTCTCAAAAAAAAAGAGAGAAAAGAAAGATAAAAAATGAAAGGAAGGAGAAAAGGGAGGGAGAAGTTAAAGGGATGAAGTTGGCCCACCTGGTTCCAGTGCTGGCTCTGCCACTCAATAACTGTGGCCTTGGGCAGGTAGTGTCCTGTTTCTGGGACTCAGTTTCTTTATCTATAAAATGGGGACAATATAGTACCTTCCCCTTAAGATTAACATGAGCCTACTTGACACCCTAGCACTGATACGTGAACAATCTTGGCAGACTATAACCAAATGCTTCTGCACTATGCATTGTGTCTGTGCAGAGTATTTGTATAATAGATAATCATGGCATTTTTCACCTTCAAACATCACATGTTGTTTCTGAACCCTCATCTTCCAGCACAGAGCCCAGCCATGCATCCAGCTGAGCCTCCCAGACTGGGCTTCTTAAAACTAGATTAGGGCTGGGTGTGGTGGATCAAGCCTGTAATTCCAGCACTTTGGCAGGCAGAGGCAGGTGGATATCACCTGAGGTCAGGAGTTTGAGACCAACTTGGCCAACACGGTGAAACCCCATCTCTACTAAAAGTACAAAAATTAGTCAGGATTGCATGCCTGTAATCCTTGCTTCTTGGGAAGCTAAGGCAGGAGAATTGCTTGAACCTGGGAGGCAGAGGTTGCAGTGAGCCGAGATTGCCCCATTGCACTCCAGCCTGGGCGACAGAGAGACACTGTCTCCCGTTAACTGCAAAAAAAGAAAGTAAATTATGTTCATCCTCAAGTCATGTCTCCACTGACAAATAGAACCAAGTTTATTTATTTCATTATTCAATTTAGTTAAGTGTTTTTTTTCCTCTCCAAGGAATTCTAGCAATAAAGTCACACATTACCCAAAAGATCTCTGGCAGAGGGATTTCTGGGTCAAGGTAACTCACCTACAGAGAGTCTGGAGCTCCTAGCCTGGATGAAAGGAAAGTTCGTTAGCTTTATTTACTTCTTCCGACATAATTGGTCAGCAGAGTATAAATGCTGATGTCATGTCTAATTAGCGGTGGCCTCTGCCCTTCTGGTCACAGCACCGCGTCTGGCATGTTGGTGTGGATGGAGCAGTTTCACAGGGAGTATCTTTATGAACTAGCTCTCCCATGGAGCTGCTCTAATTATCATTTAAGAAAACAAGCTTTTTGATGTTGTATAGACAGTTCAGCAACATCTCCCCAACAGGGCTGATAATTGTAACAGCCTTTCAGTCCATGATGGGCTTTTCCACAAGTGATCACATCAGATCATGGGGAACTAGAAACTGGGACCTCATCTCTGCTCATCTCAGTCCTGGACACCTTGCCCATCTCGGCTCGTCAAATACCTTCAAGGGCTCTAAAGCTAATCGTTTGTATTGGCACAGATTTTGCCTGGTGTCCAAAATCCAGATTTAAAAACCAGTGGCAATCATTGTGCTCCTGGGTACCATTTATTGTCATGAAATCAAACACAGCATAAAGGAAAACTGTTCAATATCTAAAAGATTAGCGTGGATACAAATATTTGTGGATACTAGTACATTTTATAACACTGTTTGTTTAAAAACAAAAACAAGTAGGGGAATAATTTGAATTCCTCAGTCGCAGGATTCCACTGAGTTTTTGAGAGGTGAAGATTTTTCACAAAGTGAGTTACAGACTGAGAGTATCAATCTGACAACACTTTGTTCTTGGCTCACACCATTCAGTTTCATAAAATCAGTAAGATAAAAGCCACGCACCACTGGGGGAGAGAGGAGGTGAGCTCCACCTTCTGTTTCCCTCTCTGTCTGTCTCACACACACTCCAACACCAGTGACCTCTGCTTTTCCATCCAAACACAGGACCAATTACCAGACTCCAGGTTGCTTCCAGGATTTTTTACGGGACCCTGGAATTTAGTGTAGTTATTTGTGTAGTTGTGATCCCCTCCGAGATTGTGAAATCCTTGAGGGAAAGAGTTAGTGCCTAATAAATTTAGGCACTAATTTTATTCTACCCTGAAATTCTACCATGTCACTCACCCATATCATCCTCTCCATGCAGACTCTAGCTCAATCCCTCAATCCAGTCTTCTGTTCTGTTGTTGTTTTTTTTTTATTGTTTTGTTTTTTGAGACAGAGTCTCACTGTCACCCAGGCTGGAGTTCAGTGGTGTAGTCTCAGCTCACTGCAACCTCCACCTCCCAGGCTCAAGTGATTCCAGAGGCCCACTTACACTCTTCGATGCACAATACTGGTGGTTTCATGCTTTCCCTGAGGCCCATCCATGGGCCCCGGAACTTTCCAACCCCTTTGCTTATGAATGAATTGCCTCTACCCCATCACACGCCTCTGCATTCCAAATATCTCCACCTTTGCCTGAGCTGCTCCCTAAAATACCTTTCCACTTTCTATCCATCAAATCCCACTAGGATGTAAATTCCTTGAGGACAGGGCTCTGACTCATTCACTGTTCTATCTCCTCCGCTTCAGCCTGCACCTGCCCCTAGTAGATGCCCAAAGGTGTTTGTTGATAGACAAATTCAAAAAAATATATTTATTCAGTGCTTACCATACTCTAGATATTGGAGATACAGTGGTGAGCTCCAGTAGTCATGATTTCTATTCTCGTGGAACTACCAGTTTGAAGGACGTCTTCATTATTTATTGCCATGTAACACAATACTCCAAAATTCACCAGTTTAAAGCAATAAACATTCATTGTCTGACATATCTCCTAAAGGTTGGGAATCCAGGAACGGCTTAGCTGAGTGGTTCTGGCTCAGGGTCTCCCACAAGGTTGCAGTCAAGCTGGTGGCTGCATCCTCTGGAAGCTTGAGTGAGGCCGCAGCATCCGCCTCAAAGCTCACTCACATGGCTCTTGGCTGGCTGCAGTTCCTTACTGGCCATAGGTCTTTGTTTCTTGCCACGTGCCTCTCCAAAGGCTGCCGTGAATGTCTTCATGACCCCATGACATGGGAGTTGGCTTCCCCCAAAGTTAGTGATCCAGGGGAGAGAGAATCTTCAAGATGGAAGTCATGTTTTAAGACCTAATCTTGAAAGTGACATACCATCACCTCTGCCATATGCAATTGGTCACAGAACCAAGCCTGGTACAGTGTGGGAAGGGATCTCACCTTACAGGGTGTAACAGCAGGAGGTGGAGAACATTGGGTGCCATCTTGGAGGCTGTTCCCACAGTGGGGGAGAAAGACAGTAATCAAACATCACATAATGCACATGTAATTGCAAACGGAGCTATGTGCTCTCAAAATACAGCCCATGGTCCTGTGAGGGCGTATAACTAGGGGTCCAACTTAGACATAGGTGGAAACCACAGATGAAACTTGGCCATGGCCTCTAAGGGATGTGTTGATAAGAGATGAGGAAAGGAAAAAGGGCATTCTAGTCCATTGGCTCACAAGCTTGGTTGCTCATTGGAGTCATCTGGCAAGATTTTTAAAATACCGTTGCCCAGACTACCCCTCCAAAGACTCTGATCTAAATGTTCTGGGGTAAAGCCTGGACATTAGGATGCTTTTAAGCTCCCAAGGTGATTTCAATGTGCAACCATGTTAGAGAACAACTGTTGTAGGATAGGGAACCACTCGTTGCAAATGTCTGTTACCAGAGGGAGACTGACATGCTTGAGGAGCTGAGGGTCAGGAGGGCTGGAGGGTAGAGAGTGCAGGAGAGCAACGTGGAGTGGGGGCGAAAGGTGGGCAGATGCTGGATCTGTTGATGTACCCCAGAGAACACCTTAGGGAGGCTGGGCTTGGAGGGTATGAGGAGAGTGAGGCAGTGACAAGATCCAACTGGCATTTCCAAAAGATGCCTCTGGCTCAGATTCAAGAACAGATTGAAGGGGAGCCCTAGGGTGGGGGTACCATTCTGGAATGATAGAACTTTGGTTCCAACTGTGATAGGCAGTGAGGACTTGGACTAAGGCAGTGACAGCAGGTGACAGCAATATGTTGGGCAGAGTCAAGAGTTTTGTTACTAATTCCTATGATCCACTTCAAAACTTTGATTTGACAAATGGGAAACTGAGGTCAGAGAGATGACAGGGCTCATCCAAGGTCATTCCACAATAGGATAAAGCAGAAGGAAAGAGAAACCAGCTTGGCCCTGACAACCTGTGGTTTTAAATGATAAACAAAACCAGAGGAGAAGAGAAAAGGAAATGAGGATGAGAGCATCAGGCGAAGATAAAAGAAGACACATCTAACACCCACACACACACGCTTGCATGCTCACAAATGACAAGACCAAAAGGTCACTGGCAAGTTGAAAAATAGATGGTGTAATTATAAAGCTGTCTGAAATGCCAGCCAGGGTCATCCCTGTGACCTGTCCTTCCGCGCCTGGCAGGGACACTGGGGGAGGGCTGGGGAAAGCTGCCAGCCCTCTTGACATTCAGCTTCTGTGGCGTGGAGTGGAGGGAGTGTTTCAAGCCATGCCTTGCCTCTGTTCTCCATGGCGGAATTTGTGACTTCCTCATCAAGACAGCCCAGGCCCCTTGACAGCCTGTCCCAACTCTGTGGTCACATGGGAAAAGGTTATTTCCAGCACCCTACTTTTAGCCACACATTAAACAGTTGGGGTCCTTCCTTTTCCATTGGTAATGATCCCCTGCCTCTAAAGAGGTGACTTCTTGGTGTCTTTCTTGAGAAAAGGAGATGGTGACTCACATCGTACCAGCCTGAAATAATTAGTTTCAGGCAAGTGCATGTAGATATGGGTAAATACTTTAAAGTGAAGCCCTCTAATCAATAGTCTCTATGTTTATCAGGAAATGAGCAGATGGTGTGAGGTTTCCTAAAAAACACAGAGACAAGAAACAAATAATTCCACGACATCCTGGGTTAGACAGATCATTAATTGGGTACTAAATTTTACTGAAGGTTTAGGGAAGAATATATCATTCTGAAATGTTAGGGCTAGAAGGACCCTCTAAGAAAATGTAGTCTATGGATGGCCAATAAATGGCACACGTTTCCCTGCATACCCACACCAGACATTAATAATCCATCACAGCACTACTGACCTCTGAGTACTCCTGAAGACAGTATTCCAGGTATGTATTATCAATCATGGTTGTCACCCAAGACCTGCATTATCTTTATATAGTAAAATTAAAATTTTAAATTCTGTGCCTCTGTTACACTAGCCACCTTTCAAGGGCTCAATAGCCACATGTGGCTATTGGACAGCACAGAATAGAACATTTGAATCACTGCGTAAAGTCCAACTGGACAGCCGTAGAATCATATTTCCCAAATGGCAGTCATTTATATATCATCTTCGCACTTTTTGCCACATTGACTCTTAAAAAAATTATCTAATAAGGAAATGTTAAAAATTATCAAAGGAAATGGAAAGCCAGTTTCCTCTTTTTTTTTTTTTTTTTTTGGATAGTCTCGCTCTCTCACCCAGGCTGGAGTGCAGTGGTACCATCTTGGCACACTACAACGTCTGCGTCCTGGGTTCAAGCAATTCTCTTGCCTCAGCTTCCTAAGAAGCTGAGATTACAGGTGTGTGCCACCCCAACTGGCTAATTTTTGTATTTTTAGTAGAGACAGTGTTTCACTGTGTTGTCCAGGCTGGTCACAAACTCCTGACCTCAGGTGGTACACCTGCCTCAGCCTCCCAAAGTGCTGGGATTACAGGCGTGAGCCACCACACCCAGCTAAGCCTTTCATGAATCGCACACTGTCATGATTAGCATGGACTGAGACAACCTATGAGAAGAAGAGGAGTTTGCTCAAGGTCTGTAAAGAAGAATGGTGAGAGGAGGGGGGATGGCATGCACACATGCACGTACACAAACACAGGCACACGCACACACTCACAGAGGCATTGTAAATAGTGGCTATCGGGGTGGGTTCCGGGCTAGGCTTCTCCAAATTAGATAATGTCTCTGAGCCTCAGCTGCCTCATCTGTAAAATTCAGAAAGGGTGAAGCAAATCATACCCAGCTGAAGGATGCCTGGAAGTCAGATTTCTTAACCTCAGCAGTGTCAGCACTTGGGGGCTGGATCATTGCTTGCTGTGGGGGCTGTCCCGTGTGCTGTAGGATGTTAGCAGCATCCCTGGCCTCTCTATTCACTGGATGCCAGTAGCACTACCCCTCCCCTGGTTGTGACAACCAAAAATACATTGCCCAGTGTCCACTGGGGGGCAAATTCACCCTTGGTTAAGAGCCACTGCTGAAAGGATGAGAGATGATGTATATAAAACAGCTCATGGTGCCTTGTGTACAGTTAGTGTTCAATTAATCATCACCATTGTTAATTGCATTCATATTTGCATTTGGAGGGGGGTCTCTCATCCCCACTTTACAAGTAAGGAAACAAAGCCATAGCCAGGTTTTGAGCAGAGTTCTGGTTGTTTCCTGCATCTGTGTTCCTGCCCCACTTCAGGCAGCCCTACCTAAGCTTGCATCACCTGGACTCCACTGTAAAACCCCACATCAGCTCGGAAGGATGCAGGTGGCCAGAAAAGAGGTTTTCTGCATTTGAACTGGGTTTCTGCACTTCCCACCAGCCAGCGCATCAGACCGGGCTGAGGCAGAGAGGCTCCCTGGAGCTCTCAGGAAGTATCTCAACAATGCCAGTGTTTGTCCCCCATCTTGAGGCTGACAATGATGCCAAGAAAAGCGCAGCTTCTAACCCACGGGAGATGACGTACTGAGGTCGTTTGGAAATTGCTTTAATGCCTTCAAGTGCAACAAACTTATCTGACCTCTCAGTGCCCATGCACACCGTCCCTCTTTCGATGAGCTCACTGAGGGTCAGGACGGTGACTTCCACAGTCAGGGCAGGGCACTGGGGCTACACTGTGAGGCTGCATTTTCTCTGTTGACTTCCTGAGCTTTGTTTGCTCATCCCGCGAAATCCACTTTGCAACGCCTGGCCATTTTCCCCCTCCAAGCTCATCCCTCTTCATTCGGTTTTGGACCTATTGCCCTACATTGATGTTTTTGCCACGATAAACTCTTTGAGCAAAACAGGGTTAGTCTTTAAGTCAGGATGAGAGACACGATTCACTCCCTGCTGTCTTAGCAATTGACAATGCACGGTAGTTTGCTAAAGGCCCTAAGATGTTCCACATTAAGGAAATTCATTTCTTTGTTTTATTTATTTTTTTTTCTGTCTTTTAGTTTTTGTTTTTGAGAGTCTCACACTGTGGCCCAGGCTGGAGTGCAGTGACGTGATCACAGCTCACCAAAGCCTCAACATCCTGGGCTCAGGGGTCCTCCCACCTCAGCCTCCTAAGTAGCTGGGACAACAGTTGTGAGCCGCTACCTCGTTGGCTATATCTTTGTATTTCTTGTAGAGATGGGGTTTCACCATGTTGCCCAGGCTGGTCTCAAAGTCCTGGGCTCAAATGATCCTCCTGTCTGGGCCTCCTAAAGGGTTGGGATTACAGGTGTGAGCCCCGTCTAACTGTTTTAAAAACAACTTTTCCTAAGTCTATTTCATTACAAACGCTTTTCCACTGTGGTGGCAAAGACTGTCTAGCAGTTCACTCAATCCACTTCCTTATTCCAGGTACCCAGACAGACAGTCTCCCTTGCAGTTCAGTCCAGCCACACGATGGAGTTCTAGCAAACGGGACAGGAGATGAAGTATCAGGCACCTCTTCCAGGCTGCCTCGTACAAACATCCCATACAGTGCTTTATTCGATTTCCCTGTCTGCCAGCAGAGTAGAATTGACCCAGGGGGATGAGGAAGACAGATGGAAAGAGCTTGAACCCTCGAACTATCATGTGGAAGGCTGCCTGCCACACACTTGCATGAACCTATAATGTGCATCATTGATATGGTGGGATGTTTTATTACTGCAGCTGCTATTACTCATCCTGACTACTTGTCATGAACTACTGGTTTCCCCCACCAAATTCATACATTAAAGCCCTAACCCCTATGTGGCTATATTTGGAGATGGAGCCTCTAAGAAAGTAATTAAGGTTAATTGAGGTCAAAAGGGTGGGGTCCTGATCTGATAGGATTTGTGTCCTTATAGTAAGAGACTCCAGGTGGCGCTCAGTGGCTCACACCCGAAATCCAAGCAGTTTGGGAGGCTGAGGCATTTGAGGCTAAAAGTTTGAGAGCAGCCTGGGCAACATAGCGAGACCTGATCTAAAATGTTTTTAATTAGTTGGACATTGTGGCAAGCACCTGCAGTCCTAGCTGCTCTGGAGCCTGAGACAGGAAGATCACTTGAGCCAAGTAGGTTGAGGCTTCAGTAAACTAGGATTACACCAATCTGTTGCTCCAGCCTGGGCAACAGAGCGATACCTGTGTCTAAAAAGATTTTTAAAAAGCAAATACACCAAAGTGTTTGCTCACTTTCTTTCTCTCCACGTGCACCAAGGAAAGGCCAGGAGAACAGCCCTCTGCAAGTCAGGAAGAGATCCAGTGCCAGAAACTGAATTGGCCAGCACCTTGATCTTGGACTTCCAGCCTCCAGAACTGCAAGAAAACAAATGTCTGTTGCATAAGCCACTTAGTGTTTGATACTGCATCGTGGCAATGTAACAAATTTCCGAGTAACAAATGAATTACTACAGCATGCAACACAAAGAAACATCAGGGTGATCAATGTTTTCCAGCTCATACTTGGAGAATTTGTGCCTTACACATAATTCCCGTGAAATTGAACATTCAGTGATATTTGGATAGGCCACATAGGTTAATGTTCACAGAGACCCACACAGGGTCTAAAATGTTGCTGCATGATAGCTCCCTCAAGTATTATATTTTTTAAATGGGAATATTATTCAGTCTTTAAAAAGGACTTCCTACCATCTGTGGAATGGTACCTGGAGGACACTATGCCGGACAAGTCCCAGCACTTTGGGAGGCCAAGGTGGGTGGATCACTTGAGGTCACGAGTTTGCGACCAGCCTGCCCAACATGGTAAAACCTCATTTCTACTAAAAATACAAAATAATAATAATTATTATTATCCAGGCTTTGTGGCAGCTGCCTGTAGTCCCAAGCTACTCGGGAGGCTGAGGCAGGGGAATCAGTTGAATCCAGGAGGCAGAGGCTGCAGTGAGCGGAGATCACACCTCTGGGCAACAGAGCAAGATTTTATCTCAAAAAAAGAAAAAAAAATACTGTATCAATATACACCTTATTCATCCCACATAACTCCAGCTTTACACCCTTTGACACCATCTCCCACTTCCCCACCCCTGGCTACCACTGTTTTACTCTCTGTATCTATGTATTTATCTTTTTAAATTTCCACAAAGAAGTGAGATTATGTGATGTTTTTGTTTCTGTCTCTGGCTAATTTCACTTGGCATAGTGTCCTCCAGGTACCATTCCACAGATGGTGCCTGGCCTGATACAGTATTATAATGATAGTCCTCATGTTGTATATTACACTTCAATTACCTCTTGAGGTGTAATTCACAATATGAGGACTATCATTAATAATACTGTAATATGTACTGGAAATCTGCTAAAAGGGTAGATTTCAAGCACTGTCACCAACATACATGTGCAACAAGTGGTGGAAAGCTAACTCCAATCAGCTTACACCAAAACAATAAAACTGTATTGGCTCATGGGATGAAGAATGGGTGGTGCACCCAGGTCAAGGGAAGGGGGTGGGGAGAGAGTGTGGTCTCAAGGATCTCAGTGTCTCCAAGTCATCCACCTTGTTCCTTTTCACTATGCCTTCACTCCCTCATACTATGGACTCTTATGTTCATGCACCAGGTCCCGATCTTATCATTTCTGTCACCAACCAGAAGAAAAAGAATGACTTATTCCTGGTTTAAAGAATCCTCAGAGAAAACCCTGATTGGCTGGCTTAGGTCAAGTGCCTAATTTTGACCAACCAGCTATAGGCAGAGCAGGGCAGGGTCACTTCAGTAATACAGACAGAGCTGTGGGGTTTCCATTCCTGTGACTGGAGACCTGGCCCCCATGAAATGTCTCGTTCTGAGCGGGCTGTCCTTTGAAGGGGCATGCACCAGATGTGTTCTGAGCACCATGGCTGTTTGGGAAGGTACATATTGATACCTGTGTTAGTTTCCTATTGCTGCTTTGAGAACTCACCCATTTTACGGCAGCTTAAAACAACAGACATTTATTCTCTCACAGTTCTGAAGGCCAGAAGTATGAAATTGAGGTGTGGGAAGGGTTCATTACTTCTAGAGGATCTGAGAGGGCATGTGTGCCATGCCTCTCTCCCAGCTGTTGGTGGTTGAAGCAATCTTTGGCATTCCTTGGCTTGTACACTATCACTCCAGGCTCTGCCTCCGTCTACACATGAGTTCACATGGCTTTCTCTCCCACGTCTGTGTATCTTAAATTTCCCATTCTTTTTTCTTAAAAGGAGACTAGATTGGATTTAGGACCCACTTAAATAATCCAGGATGATTCCATCTTGAGATACTGAACTGCATTTCAAATAAGTTTCCATTCCCAGGTACCTGAAGTTAGGGCATAGACATATCTTTTTAGGGACCACTCTTTAGTGCATACCTGAAAGTACCAGCTCTATTCCTTCAGGGACATATTGGATAATTGTACTTTTATATGACAAGGCATTGAGAGTTATTTTTATTTTTCCTCTCTCTTTTTCTTATTTTTCAAGGTAACATTTGTTGATCTACATAAGACATTCTACATCACTTAAGTGTGTTGGAAATTAAATTTAATGAAGAAAAGACAAGGGTTTGGGGAAAAGCTTCAATTTCATCTTCAGGAAGTCCTTTTCTGGACATCCCTTTTGCACTGTTTATGGAAATTTGCTGTTTTTCTGTAGGTTCCCATGGTAGACACAGTCACCCAGACCCTCCTCTTTGACAATTACCTGCTCCACCAATGAGCAGGCTACTTGACTCCCTAGCCATAACCGATTGGTCCAGAAGTAGACAGGTGGCCCATTCTGGGCCAATCAGATGGTCTTTCCTTGGAGGAGTCCTGTTGCTATCTGGGCTGGTCTCCTCCATGGAGATTATATGTATCTGAGTCATGGAGATGATATATATCTAAATCAAGGAGGGTCATTTTCTGCCCTGTGCTCTGAAGGCAGCTGGATGATGAAGGCAGAGGCAGATCCACAAAAGGAGGCAATGGTGAGAGAAGGGAAGACAGGACTGGCTTAGACGCAAAAAATAGTAGGTTTGTCCTACTTCCTATTTTTCCTGGGGGAGGACTAGCTACAATGTCTGCACTTCGATGACAGGCATTACATGAGGCCGCTGGATCCCCATGTCAAATTTCCTCCATTTAAAAAAATTGCTTAAAGTAGCCTTGAAAGAGTGTTAACTGTCAGCAGAGAACTCCAGAGAATTCTCTTCTTTGTTAGCCAGTTAACTTCCATTACCTCCCAGTCCACTGCTGCACTTTTTTCTGGATCTTAATTTCCTCATCTATAAAATATGAATAATAAAAGCTACCTCAAAGGATTGTCATAAGAATTAAATAAGATAAATCTGGGAGTTTTTTCTGAGATCTTTTTCAAAAAATATTAATATGGAATATCACATACTGGGGGCAGTTGGCGGGGGTGGCCAGGGGAGGCACAGTGGAGGGGTGGGGAGGCTGGGGAGGGATAACATGGGGAGAAATGCCGGATATAGATGAAGGGGGAATAGAGGCAGCAGACCACCTGGTTATGTATGCACCTATGCAACAACCCTGCATGACCTGCACATGTACCCCAGAACCTAAAGTACAATTAAAAAAGAAACTATTAATATCATATATTACCCTTTTGGTGTTAGACTGTGAATTACTTAACAGCAAAAACCATCACTTGTTGTTGTTTTTTTTTTTTTTGGAAACGGAGTCTTGCTGTCACCCAGGCTGGACTGCAGTGGTGCAATCATAGCTTACTGCAGCCTCGAACTCCTGGGCTCAAGAGAGCCTCCTTCCTCAGCCTCCTGAGTAGCTGGGACCACAGGCATGTGCCATCACACATGGCTAATTAAAAAGAAAAACTGTAGAGATGAGGGTCTCATGATGTTACCCAGGCTAGTCTCAAGCTCCTGGGCTCAAGGGGTCCTCCCTCCTCTCCTCCCGAAGTGCCAGGATTACAAGCATAAACCATCTCATCCAGCCCTTTAAAACAATTTTTTGGCCGTGCACAGTGTCTCACACCTGTAATTCCAGCACTTTGGGAGGCTGAAGCAGGTGGATCACTTGAGGTCAAGAGTTCAAACCCCGCCTGGCCAACGTGGTGAAACCCCATGTTTTCTCTCATTTTGTCTCTACGGGAAATACAAAAATTAGCTGAATGTGGTGGCAGCCACCTGTAATCCCAGCTACTTGAGAGGCTGAGTCATGAGAATCACCTGAATCCGGGGGGGCAGAGGCTGCAGTGAGCCGAGATCATGCCATTGCACTCTCGCCTGGACAACATAGTGACACTGTGTCTCAATAAATAATAAATAAATAAATAAGTTTTAAAATCTCCAGCTCCTGACATGAGATTTGGCACCTACTAGTGTGCTTGATAAAGGTTTGTTAATGAAACAAATAATTGCTATTTGACGACCTCAAACAGCAAATGACTCTTCCTACAAATGACCTCATTTAAATCTTATATCCCCTGGAGAGCTAGATGTTATTATTAACACCATCTTACTAATGAGGAAACAAGGGCTCAGAAAAGGTGGGTACAGTTCTCAAGGCTGCACAGTCAGTGGTTGAAGCAGGCTTTTTTAATTTTTTTTAAGGCAGAGTGTCACTCTATCATCCAGGCTGGAGTGCAGGGGCATGATATCAGCTCATTGCAACCTCCACCTCCAAGGTTCAAGCAATTCTCCTGCCTCAGCTCCCGAGTAGCTGGGATTATAGGTGCACACCACCAAACCTGGCTAATTTTTCTATTTTTTTAGTAGAGACTGGGTTTCATCATGTTGACCAGGCTGGTCTTGAAATCCTGACCTTAGGTAATCCACCCACCTCGGCCTCCCAAAGTGCTGGGATTACAGGTATGAGCCACCGTGCCTTGCCTGAAGCAGGTCTCCAAGGCACCTCTCTCTCTGCACTGTGAGCTTACACTCACAGCCATCACATGAGACTCGACACAGGTGGGCTTCAAGGCACGGTAGCCACTCCTTGAACCTGGGAGGAGGCTTTTACAGCAGAGAAAGGGCAGGTGGGCTGCCCGGACGCTGGAGGCTGAACCCTCTGCTGCCCTGCATCTGTTGTAGGAAAAAGCCTCGTGAGCTGGGTACTGATCTGGGAACGTGTGGTCTGAACTCCAGCTGCCCAGGCTTAGGGGCAGAGGGAGGTTCGGCGTTCCCCATGCTCAGCACGCTAGCTTCCCGCTGCGGTGGGGCCAGTGACAGATGCATTCCGAGAACAAGCAGACACCTCTGTGCTCACCCACTTTAATTAGGTGAAGGAGTCAGGACCCATTAGGATCACCTAGAAATACCATGCCGGGCCTGTGCTCCACCCACACATGCTCCAAATCGCTGCCTTCCCACTGCAACTACTGTTTGGTGAGTATTTCTTTATTTGTAGTTTTTAAAAAATTAAGCAGATAATACAACCGCATGGTAATTTTTTCAAACAGCACAAGAAGATACGTTATAAAAATCAGCTGGGCACAGTAGCTTACACCTGTAATCTCAGCACTTTGGAAGGCAGAGGTGGGAGGATCCCTTGAGTCTCAGAGTTCAGGACTAGCCCGGAGAAACATGGAGAAACCCCATCGCTAGAAAAAATAAAAAATTAGCCAGGCAAGCTGGTGCATGCCTGTAGTCCTAGCCACTTAGGAGGCTGAGGTGGGAGGATCACTCAAAGTTGGAGGCTGCAGTGAGCCATGATAGTGTCATTCCACTGTTGCCCACCAGGGTGACAGAGTAAGACCCTGTCTCAAAAGTAACTACATAAACAAATAATCTGGTCTCACTCTTATCACTGACTGCAAGGCTACCTCCCCACAAGTCATGACTATTTTAACAGTCTCTTGTGTATCCTCCTTCAATAAATGTTTTGTTTCTGAAAAAGTGCAGTGGCACTATCGGCAGCCCCAGATTCCCAGGCTCAAATGATCCTCCTGCCTCAGCCTCCCAAGTGAATGGGCCCACAGGCACGCACCAGCATGCCCAGCTAATTATTTTTATTTTTGTAGAGACAGGGTCCCTATGAAAATATGAATGCTCATGTCCAGGAATACTTATATCTAATATTTAAAAACAGGCACACAATTTTTTTCTAGTTAATAAGACATTTTGGAAGTGGCTCCATAGCACAAAGGATGCTGCATTTCCATGATGTTCATTACATCATTTCCGTATTGGGTGGATGGACGTCTGTGGTGTATGGAGTCATCTGTTATCACCAACAGTGGCTCAACGAGCTCTTTACAGCCTCAGTCCTTGCTTTATGTGCAGTGCATTCACAGAAAACAATTCCTTGTGGTGCAATTGCTGGATCAAAGACTAAACTTTTTTCTTTTTGTTTTGTTTTTGTTTTTTTGAGACAGGATCTTGCTCTGTTGCATGAGCTCTGTTGCAATTCTCCTGCCTCAGCCTCCCAAATAGCTGGGACTACAGATGCACGCCACCACACCCAGCTAATTTTTGTATTTTTTTTAGTAGAGACAGGGTTTCACCATGTTGGCCAGGATGGTCTCAATCTCTTGACCTTGTGATCCACCCGCCTTGGCCTCCCAAAGTGCTGGGATTACAGGCATGAGCCACTGTGCCTGGCCTATTTTTATTTTTTTTGAGACAGTCTCGCTCTGTTACCCAGGCTGGAGTGCAATGGGGCGATCTCGGCTCACTGCAACCTTCGCCTCCCAGATTCAAGTGATTTCCCCTGTCTCAGCCTCCCAAGTAGCTGGGATTACAGGCATGCACTACCATACCCAGCTAATTTGTATATTTTTAGTAGAGATGGGGTTTCACCATGTTGGCCAGGCTGGTTTTGAACTCCTGACAGATGATCTGCCCACCTTGGCCTCCCAAAGTTCGGGGATTGCAGGTTTGAACCACCACACCTGGACTGGATGTGTATCTTTAATTGCAATAGATATTGCCACCCAGTTTAATGTCACCAACTGATGATCTCCCAAGAACATGTCAGTCTCTAAGACAGGTTCCACTTCACTCTGTTTCCCGATGTTTGCGTCCAGTTTGTCTCTTGGAAATCCCACAAGTGTTCCCCTCACTCCAGCCAACTGCCCAACTCTAGGGAAATCCTCTCACACAAGTTATAAACCAGAATTATGAGTCTGGCTGGTAAAAGATCTTTTAAAAATCATTTGCATAGTATACAAAATAGTATACATAATATAGAAATATAAAATAATGCATGCTCATATGAGTGATTGAAATCCAATGGTGAAGGGAAATGGTTAGGAAATAATATTAAATAACAAAGGCAGAATGCAAAGAGTGGTTCTTACTCTTGGCTGGGTACATTGGCATCCCTGGGAACTAGTGGAAATATAGATGCCGAGACCCCCAAACCTGGGGATTCTGTTCAGTAGGCTAGGAATAGATAGAACAAGAGCAAAAGCCAGCATTTTTAGCCAGCTTGCCGTCAGAGGCTATGCACCCACAAAATGTTATCTATTCACTGTGATCTCAAACGGGATCAAAGAACAAAAAATGAGGAACCCAACCAGAAGGAAACAGCGCTTGTCTCCGGGTTTGCTGAGTCTGCGATGCATGTTTTCCTCTGTGTTTTCCTGTGGTTTTGCAAACTTTCCTACTGAGAAAGGATGTTTAGAAATAAAAGAATGTTCTAAAAATGTAGAAGCTCCCTCCCTCCCTCCTTTCCTATTTTTTTCTCTCCTTTCTTCCCTCTCTCCCTTTCTTTCTTCTTTCTTCCCTTCTTTCTTTCCTCCTTTCTTTTTCTTCTTTCTTTCCTTTCTTCCTTTCTTTCTTTCTTTCCTTCTGTGTGTGAGATGGAGTTTCACTCTGTCGCCCAGGCTGGAGTACAGTGGCATCATCTCACCTCACCGAAACCTCCACCTGCTGGGTTCAACCAATTTTCCTGCCTCGGCATCCCAAGTAGCTGGGACCACAGGCACGTGCTACTATGCCCAGCTAATTTTTGTATTTTTAATAGAGATGGGGTTTCACCATGTTGTTCAGGCTGGTCTCAAACTCCTGACCTCAGGTGATCTGCCCGCCTTGACCTTCCAAAGGGCTGGGATTACAGGCATGAGCCACCATGCCCAGCCCATCCTTTCTAATTCAGTTCAGATTGGAGACGACAGTCATAAAGATTGATGACAGCATGTGATCCTGAACTGTGTCCCTTTGCTGTAACGAGCATCACTGGGACAATTATCAGCACTTGAATAAGGTCTCTGAGTGAGAGGTATAGGGAAGTTCTTTGTTCTAATATTGCAGTTTTTCTGTAAATTGGAGGCTTCGAGGCTTCACGGAAGCATCTCTCCATCACTTTGCTGAGATAAGACTTTTTTGGCCAGGCGCAGTGGCTCACCCCTGTAATCCTAGCCCTTTGGGAGGCCAAGGCGGGAAAATCACTTGAGGTCAGGAGTTTTAGACCAGCCTGGGCAACATAAGGAGACTCCATCTCTACCAAAAATACAAAAATTGGCTGGGCATGGTAGCATGCAGCTGTAGTTCCAGTTACTCAGGAGGCTGAGGTGGGAGGATGGCTTAAGCCCAGGAGGTGGAGGTTGCTGTGCACTCCTGAGTAGCTGGGATTTATTAGCATGTGCCACTATGCCATGCTAGTTTTTGTATTTTTTAGTAGAGGCGGGGTTTCACCATGTTGGCCAGGCTGGTCTTGAACTCCTGATCTCAAGTGAACCACCTGCCTCAGCCTCCCAAAGTGCTGAGATTACAGGCATGAGCCACCATGACCAGACTGGGTGAGAGTGAGACTGTTTAAAAAAGAAAATAGAATTGACGTTGACATGGCACTGTGATCTAATCTTCAGATCAATTTCCACCAGAATGTATCTCATACCAAAATTTTAAGAGCTGTTCTAGTTCAGGATTCCATCCAAGATTTTCCATTGCATTTAGTGGTCATGTCCCTTTGATCTGCTTTCACTTAGAATGTTCCTCAGCCTTTCATGACATTGATTTTTTGTTTGTTTTGAGACGGAGTCTCACTCTGTCACCAGGCTGGAGTGCAGTGGCTCCATCTTCTGCTCACTACAACCTCTGCCTCCCAGGTTCAAGCGATTCTCCTGCCTCAGCCTCCTGAGTAGCTGGGATTACAGGCACACACCACCATGCCCAGCTAATTTTTGTATTTGTAATAGAGGCTGGGTTTCACCATGTTGGCCAGGATGGCTTCGATCTCTTTACCTTGTGATCCATCCACCTCAGCCTCCCAAAGTGCTGGGACTGTAGGCATAAGCCATCGCACCCAGCCTGACATTTTTGAAGAGTACAAGCCACTTGCTAGGTATTCGTCCCTTGATGCTGTTTGCCTGGTGTGTTCTCGTTATGCAATTCAGGTTTTGCATCTTTGGCAAGATGATAACAGGCTAATTTTGTGTTTTCCTTCGCATGCCAGGTGAAGCCCCAGATGTCGGTTTGTCCTCTTCTGACTTGTTCACATTGATTACTCAATTAATGGTCCTGCCAGTTTTCGCCAATGTAAAGTTAGTACTCTTTTCTTGGTAATTGACAAGTAATATGCAGGGAAATATTTTGAGATCATGTAAATATCCTGTTTCTCACTAAACTTCCATCCTTTAATTTTTGCTTCCATGAATGAATCTCCACTGGAAAAAAAGTATTCTCAGGATGGTTGCAAAGTGTTACTGCATTCTTGAGAAGCCTAAAAGCAAGCGTGTATCAGGGACCTTTAGTGTCCTGGCTTTATTTCAAGGGGGATATCTCAAAGCAACAGGAAGAAATGTGAAGAAATATTTAGATGCAAAGATTTTAATTGCAACAGTACTTATAAGAGTAAAACTTAGAAATAACCTGAGTTAAGCAATACAGTAAATGAACATCAAGAAATACGAAGCAACCTGTAAAACAGTGTTTTTGAAGAGATCTCCACCACATAATGCTTAGTCATATGCTAAGTAATGTAATATTCGGCTAAATGCAATGTGAGATGCTGGATTGGGTGGTGGGACAGAAAAAGGACATCAGTGGAAAAGCTGATGAAATTCAAGTACAGCCCATAGTTCAGTTAATAGTAATGTGCCAATATTAATTTCTTGGGTTTTATTTAATAAATGTATCATAGGCATGTAAGACGTTCATATTGGGAGGACTGAGTGAGAGATGAAGGAGAATGGTCTCTACTGTCTTTGCAACTTTTCTGTCAACTTGGATTATTCCTAGATAAAAATGCCATTGAAAACTTAACCTGGAGGTGTTAGAAATGTTCTTTTTTTTTTTTTTTCCAGATGGAATCTCGCTCTGTCTCCCAGGCTGGAGTGCAGTGGTGCAGTCTTGGCCTCACTACATCCTCCACCTCCCAGGTTCAAGTGATTCTCCTACCTCAGCTTCCGAAGTAACTGGGATTATAGACACCTGCCACCATGCCCGGCTAATTTTTGTATTTTTAGTAGAGATAGGGTTTCACCATGTTGGCCAGGCTGATCTCGGCCTCCCAAATTGCTGGGATTACAGGTGCGAGCCACTGTGCATGGCAGTGTTCATTATCTTGATTGTCATGGGTGTATACAAGTATGAAAATATATTACACACATGAAATAGATGCTATTTAATTATGTCAGTTATACCTTTTATGTCAATTATACCTTAATGGATCTTTTTTAAAAAAAAATGCTGTATTTGGTAAGCTCCTCACTGTGCTAAAGTATATACATGGGAAACAAACTGGATGAAGAAATATGAACATATTAATGGATGTTGGTGTCTGTGGCTAGTAGGATTATGAGTGATTTTAATTTTTATTTTACTTTATTATTTCTTGAGACAGAGTTTCTCTCTGTCAGTCAGGCTGGAGTGCAGTGGTGCAGTCATAGCTCACTACGTCCTTGAAGTCCTGGGCTCAGGTGATCCTCCAGTCGCAGCCTCCAGAGGAGCTGAGATTGCAGGTGCACGCCACCACACCTGGCTAATTTTTTTATTTTTTGTAGAGATGGGGTTTCACCATGTTGCCCAGGCTGGTCTCAAACTCCTGGCCTCAAGCGATCCTCCCACCTCAGCCTCAAAAAGTGTTGGGATTACAGTCCTGAACCACCACACCGGGATGGTATAATTTTTATTTTTGTATTTGGCTGTAGTTTTCAAATTCCCTGTAATGGGCATGCAAGACTTGAATACAGAGGGGACCCGCTGTGTTCAAACGGCCTGATGTATGATAATAAACCATTGTTTCCCTGTATGTAAAGTTTCTGGCTCATGGTTGGGGGTGAGAACTGAGTCCCTCCCTTGCTTGCTGAGACAATGCGATAAAACACAAAGAAGAAAACCCGTCAAAACTGAGACCTCTCCGATCTCCTGGTAATAAAGAGCCCAGAAATAGACACACTGAGACCGGAATCCAGGAGGAGGAGTCCTCTGTGTGGGTCAGGGTGGGAGGAGACGGTATTCAATGCTTGCGAAAATGCTGATTCCCAGGCCCCACCAGCAGCAGCACTGGCTTTGGGGCAGGGCCAGGAGGTGTTTCTCAAGCACCCTGGCGAAGCCAGCACAGGTGGTGGAGGTCGAGGCTCCACCCTGGGGCCCGAGTTTGCCTCGGGCTTGCACAAAGCTGGGGCAGGTGTAGGTCATATTAACTGGCCCCTTATTAATCGTCCATGTTCAGGCGCAGCTGCACCTCCTTGGATCCTCCATAGCCGCCAGAAGACGCTCCGGGAAGTCAGAGAGGTGAGTTTCTCCCTCGCTCCGCAGACCTCAGACAAGCCATTTCCATTTTCCTAGTGACCCAACCCTGGAGCAGGCCCCTGAGCTGCCAGTCAATCAGGGGACTCAGTTGGCTGCTGAAGTTCAGGAAGGAGAAGGAGCGAGGGCGTTGCTTGAGAAAAGCTTGGTGTGGCAGGAAGAGGCAGAGGCAGAACATCTCAGGGGACAAAGGCCAGAGCGAGGCTGGATAGTCTTGGTTACAGTGAGCACAACAGGGACAGAGAGGAGCCAGTGGCAAAGGCCAGAAGAAGGCCTTTTTTGTTGTTGGTTTTTTTGAGACATCGTCATACTCTGTCAGGCTGGAGTTCAATGGTGCAATCTCCATATCTGCTCACTGCAACCTCCGCCTCCTGAGTTCAAGTGATCTCTCTTGCCTCGGCCTTCTGAGAAGCTGGGATTACAGGTGCCCGCCACCATGCCCGGCTAATTTTCATATATTTAGTGGAGATGGGTTTCACCATGTTGGCCAGGCTAGTCCCGAACTCCTGACCTCAGGTAATCCACCCACCTCGGCCTCCCAAAGTGCTGGATTACAGATGTGAGCTGCCGTGGCTGTCCTGGAAGAAGCCTTTTTTAACGTGGGAGCTACACATTTTGGGTACTGTTCTTGGAGACAGGGTGGGCGTGCAGAAAGCAGAACGATACCCCCTTGGCTCCCCCCCTCTGCAGGCAGTGACTTAACTAGGAGGCAGCTCCAGAGGCTACATCAGGGGAGCCCCCACCACTTCCTGGGTCATCATTCATCCCTGGAAACGGAAGGGTCTAAGTCCTGGTTCTGGCAGTCCCTATACTTGTGCCAGCTTCCCTCGAGCAGGCCCACATTGCCCCTTCCATCCAGTCTAGGAAAACACCTACTCCTCCCGGGCGGTCGTGACATAAAAGCCCGTTCGAGAGTGGGGCAGGTCCTGGCATCAGAAGCTTCACTGGAAGTAGAGAGACTGGGACCCCTGTTCATCAGCAGGTGTATCAGGGGCAGGGGGGTGTGCCTCGGATGTCAGCCACATCCCTGGCTCCTACACACTAGTGCCTGGTAGCAGCCCCTGAGTTGTGACAATGAAAGTGTCTCCAGACATTGGCAGATGTCCCCTGGGGGACACAATCAATCCTGGCTGAAACCGCTGACCCTGGAAAGATCCTCTTTTTTTTTTTTTTGAGACGGAGTCTCGCTGTGTCATGCACACTGGAGTGCAGTGGCGCCATCTCAGCTCACTGCAGCCTCCACCTCCCAGGCTCCAGCAATCCTCCCACCTCTACCCACTGCCCCCCAGAGCCCCCACTACCAAGTAGCTGGGACTGCAGGCATGCATCACTACACCCAGCTCATTTTTGTATTTTTTGGTAGAGATGAGGTTTCTCCATGTTGACCAGGCTGGTCTCAAACTTCTGAGCTCAAGCGATTCACCTGCCTGGGCCTCCCAAAGTGCTGGATTATACATGAGCCACGAAGCCGGCCAAGAGAGATGCTCGTGAGGCCTGAGGAGATAAGTCGTGGTGCTTTTCTGCCCAGAACCCTCCTAAGACTTTGGTCTCACTCAGAGTAAAATCTGGGCCCTGAGCCTCTGAGTCACCTGCCAGCCACCCCCAGCCCTCGCCACCAGTCTCGCTGGTTCTCAAAGGCACCAGGCATCCCAGCCTCGGGGGCTGTGCCCCTGTAGTTGCCTCTGAATGTCCCTGCTGGGATGTTCTTGCCATCTTTGCTTTGCCCCTTGAAGCAGGGCAAAGGGATCCTCAGTGCCCAATGGCTAAATGGAGAGAGAGCCTCACTGGCTGACCTCCTAGTCACCAAGCTGTAGGCTTTCTTCTGGGCGTGGCCTTTGCTCAGATGTTTCTAAGCATTTTGCCTGGTGCCTGGCACATGGTGCAGTGTTTGAAAAATGTTAACCTGCCATCATTACCTGCCAGATCTAGGCTCTTTGCAACCTTCACTTTCCCCGCAAGACCAAATCAATCAGCATTCTGTTAAAATCTCTCGTTGTGTGCCTTTTTTTTTTTTTAGATAGAGTCTCTCTCTGTCGCTCAGGCTGGAGTGCAGTGGTGTGATCTAGGGTCTCTGTAACCTCCCCCTCTGGGATTCAAGCTATCTTCGTGCCTCAGCCTCCTGAGTAGCTGGGACTACAGGCATCCGCCACCACGCCCGGCTAATTTTTGTGGTGTTAGTAGAGGCTGCGTTTCACCCTGTTGGTTAGCTGACCTTGATCTGACCTCATGATCCACCCTCCTCAGTCTCCCAAAGTGCTGGGATTACAGGCATGAGTCACCACACCCGGCCTCAACGTGTCCTTTTTTTTCTTTAAGTTAAAGGTTTCTCAGCCAGGTGCGTTGGCTCGTGCCTATAATCCCAACACCTTGGGAGCTCAAGGCAGGAGAATCACTTGAGCCCAAAAGTGTGAGTCCAGCCTGGGCAACATAGTGGGACCCAGTCTCTGCAAGAAGTAAACATTAGCCAGACATGGAGGTAGTGGCGCTATACGGGAGGCTGAGATGGGAGGATGGCTTGAGCCTGGGAGGTCCAGGCTGTGTTGAGATATGATTGTACCACTGTACTCCAGCCTGGGCCAGAGTGAGGCCTGTCTCCAAAACAAAAGAAAAACGTCTTTCTACAGTATCTGTTGAGCTTATGTCTCACTGGGCTAATCCAAATATATTAGGTTATGCTGCAGTCACAAATGGCAACATCCCAGTGGCTGACCCACCCAAGCCTCCTCTTGACTCTCTCAGTGCACTGACTACACTGCCCTCCATGTGGTGCCTGAGGATCCAGGCAGGTTCTACTCTGATTCCACCCGCTCAGTCTGTGGTCCCCAAGGAGGAAGCTGAGAGTCATGCCCCAACTTCTAATTGCTTCAACCTGGAGTTGACACCTGTCACTGACGTTTTGGACAGATCACATGGTCCCAGCTGACTGCAGGGGGCCTGGGAAGTGGCGAGTGAGGGAGGCAGCACGTGCGAACTTGGTGATGAGTCAGTGTTTCTGACAGTCGCCCACTAGGGATTTACCTCCTGGGAGTCGGAATTGTCAACGAAATGGTTAAAATAACAGGCACTATAGATATAAAGAAACCAAAGCGGACTGTGTTCTGAGCCAGTTTTGAGGGTGACAGCCCAGAAACACCGACTTAGTGCAAACCAAGAAGCCTGGAGTGGACGAAGAAGCAAAAGTGACATTCTTATAATTCTGACTGGAAAGGTGTGACGTGAGGAGGGGGGCTTCCAGGTCCTACATAGATAAGTGACAAATGGTTGCATTCTTTTTTCTGTTGTTTTTTTTTTTTTTTTTTGAGATGGAGTCTTGCTGTGTCACCCAGTCTAGAGTGCAGTGGTACAATCTTGGCTCATGGCAACCTCCACCTCCTGAGTTTAAGCAGTTCTCCTGCCTCAGCCTCCCAAGTAGCTGAGATTACAGGCATCTGCTACCAAACCTCGATAATGTTTGCATTTTTGGTAGGGATGGGGTTTCACCATGTTGGCCAGGTTGGTCTCAAACTTCTGATCTCAGGTGGTCCATGCAGCTCAGCCTCCCAAAGTGCTGGGATTACAGGCATGAGCCACTGTACTACCCAGCCGCATTCTTTTGAGTTGCTGATTAGCCTCTCCAAAGAAGCCAATCGGATAAGCATTTTTCTCGGTCAGCAGAGGCCTGACTTTGAAGCGAATGGGAGGCAGGTTGGCCCTGAGCAGTTCCTGGCTTCACTTTTCCCTTCAGCTTAATGATTCCTTTTCCTTTCATAGAATATTGGATAAAAAATTGGTTGGATGTGATGGCTCACACATGTAATCCCACCATTTTGGGAGGTCAAGATGGGCAGATTACCTGAGTTCAGGGGTTCAGGACCAGCCTGGCCAACATGGTGAAACCCGTCTCTTCTAAAAATACAAAAATTAGCCAGGCGTGGTGCCATGTGCTCGTAATCCCAGCTACTCAGGAGACTCAGTTGAACCTGGGAGGTGGAGATTCAAGTGAGCCGAGATTGTGCCATTGCATTCCAGCCTGGCTGACAGAACAAGACTCTGTCTCAAAACTAAAGTTACAAGTATGAAGGCCTCTCAGGGTCTGCAGAGGGATAACTGAGTCTCTCCTGCCTTTGCCCTTCATCTGATGGCAAGGTTGTGGTCGTTGCACCGCAATGACATACCTGATGAATGCCAGCCTGACTGGCAAGGGCTCAGATTTCATTCATAGGCTTAGTTCCTATTATCCATATGTCCAGCCTACAGCTTTCTTGGGCTGCTTTTTAAGAAATCGTTCAGGTTTTCCTTTTTCTGACAGGTTCACATCTGTCTTACTCATTTCTGTATCCCAGTTGCCTCAGCACACAGGAGGTGTCTCATAAATGGTGTTTGCCTTTAAGAATAAAGGAGAAAGTGTTCCAAGTGAACTCTAAGTTCGGGGTGTGGTGTAGTGCCCCCAACTCTGCTGTTGACTTGCCTTGCGGTTTGTGACATGCCATGGTTACCTTGGTTTTTGTTTTAATCTGTGAAATGCAAATGTTAGCACCTCAGCCATAGGCTTGGAAGAGACTTGCATGTGGGAATACAGGCAAATGCTTCATGTGCTTCTGGAGCAAGGTGGGGGCCCAATGATCCCAACACAGTGGTCTCTGGAATGGCTTATTATGGGTCAAGTGCACAGTAATGAAAGGACTCTTGGCCGGGCATGGTGGCTCATGCCTGTAATCCCAGCACTTGGGGAGGTCAAGGTGGGCAGATCACCTGAGGCCATGAGTTCGAGACCAGTCTGGTCAATGTGGTGAAACCCAATCTCTACTAAAAATATAAAAACTATCCAGGCATGGTGGTGGGTGCCTGTAATCCCAGCTACCTAGGATGCTGAGGCATGAGATGGCTTGAACCTGGGAGGCAGAGGTTGCCAGCAGCTGAGATCAAGCCACTGCCCTCCAGCCTGGGCCACGGGTTAAACTCCATCTCAAGAAAAAAAAAAAAAAAAGACTCTTGCTCAACACATTGTGGATAATAGTCTAGTAGGGCCATGGACCCCTGAGACCAGGACCATGATCATCTCAGAGGAAGAGATGGAGGCATGCGGTAAACACGGCCTGGTGGGCCTCCCCTGCATCACCACCCTCCTGGGGAGGGAACAGTCTTCCACCAGATCCCAGCCCCACAGCTTCCCAAGCTGTTTGCCTTTCAGTGACTCACTTGTTCTCTGTAAAATGGTGATTACAGTTCTGACCTCACAAGTAGCTGTGAGAATTAAGTGAGCATCTATATAAGGTACCTAGCACAGTAGCTCTTTACATAGATACAGGTCAATTCCCACGTGGGGGTTTCCTTCTTATCCTTTGTGCCGTCTTGGCCAAATGTCTGAGAAGAAGCAATGTCCCAGGTGGGGTCCCGCTGACCCAGTCCTCAAGGAGCTCTGGGCACCATGTTGGTGACTGAGGGAGGGAGCTTGCACACACAATTGGCACAGAACCTTGGGGAACGGGGGAGAGCATGGGGCTTGGGGCCAGTTAGGTCTGGTTCCAAGGACGAGTGACTCTTTCCGTACTAATACTGAAGCCCTAATATGTCCTTTTCTGAGCTTGTTTCCTGCATGTAAGTGGAAGGGGTACAGATGATTGATTTAAAAATGCAAAGCATTTAGCACACAGTCTACTTGATAAAAGGAGTCTGTTGCTTTTAGTATCATTCTTATTCCTGTTATTACAATTTACAGTGTGAGAACTCAAGAGGTGGCAGTTGAGTAAGAACTGGGCTGTGTGCATCGTGGTGAAAGTCACAGCAAGAACAGGGAAGATCGAGGGGATGATCAATCGGAGGAGGACTGGAAGGCACCTGTGGATGAGGCCAGGAGGGTGAGTCTGGAAACCCTGGTGAATATTGATCAGAGAGCGCCGTGGTGTCAGGGCTTGGGAGATTCCAGAAAGAGCTGCCTCCATCTGCAGTGGGGACCTGGGTTGGGCAGGTGTACGTATCACAGAACTGCAGCCTTCAGTATGGCAGCCACCAGCCACAGGTGTTTGATGCATTTGAAGAATGGCCAAGGTTGGGTGGGGTGTGGTGGCTCAAGCCTGTAATCCCAGCACTTTGGGAGGCTGAGGTGGGAGGATCACTTGAACTAAGGAGTTGCAGACCAGTCTGGGCAACATGGTGAAACCCTGTCTCTCTACCAAAACTACAAAAATTGGCCAAGCATGTGTAGTAGCTGGGACAAATGCCTATGGTCCCAGCTACTCCAGGATGCTGAGGTGGGAGGATCACTTAAGCCTAAGAGATGGAGGCTGCAGTGAGCTGTGATCGCACCACCACACTCCAACCTGGGTGACAGGGTGAGACCCTGTCTCAAGAAAAAACCATGTGGCTGGGGTGACAAAGGAACTGAGGCTTGAATTGTATTAATTTTAACCACTCCTGATTAAGTTGTAAGAGCTGTTACTCTTTCTATTATTGGGAAACTTAATATGTTTGAAACAACTTGAGTATGTGAATATCTTTACAATGGAAAATTTTATGAAACTTACGTTTGTAGTAAAAAAAAAATTGCATCTGGATTGAGATACAGTAGGAGCCTAAGATACAAATCTCAGAGAATTAGTACCACTTAAAAAAAATGAATAGCTTATGAATGTTTATAGTGACTTGAAATAATACTCTTGATTTACTGTGTTAGATACAGTATTAAAATGACACATGTTTCTTTTTAAAGGGGATTTTAGTAACCTTAAAAGGGGATTTTAGTAACCTTAAAAGTTACGTATATGGCTTGTATCTTTTTCCTTTGGACAGTACTGCTTGGAATGGTTTATCCTACTTTCTCTTTGTCAACATTAAGTATTTTATTTTCATTTTGGACCAGTTTGGTGGCCAAAAACAAATGGTATTACATTTGTTTAAATTTCTCCACCTGCCACCTGAGGTCAGATATGTTCTTGGGTCTGTTGGCTTAATTCTAGAAACTGTGTGCCTATTCATGTAGAATTGTTGGTCTTTTCTACCTTGCTGTGTGGAAGATCTTTCTATACTGCATATGTGCTTATTGCTCTTTCAGATTTGTCTGCCTTTTGATTTTTGACTTTTATCATTTGATATAGAGAAGTTAAGGTTTTTATGGTTACACATACAAAATATTTTCTCTATGTTCAGGAAGCTTTTTTTATGCTTTCATTTCTACAACTTGGCTGATTATTTCATCTGGGCTTTTAGAATGTGGTATGAAGTGTGTATCCAACTAATGGGAAATTTGGGGGGCAAAACAGCTTCTATTTGGAAATGGGTTTTTAATTATTCAGTTTGTTCATCCTTTAGTCTTGGAAACAATCTTAAAAATCGAGACACAGTCCTCTCTGTTACCAGCGACAAATCCGTAAATGTCTGCAGAAGAAAGGTTTTTTTTTTTTTTTTTTTTTTTTGGTCAGAGTCAAAAAAAAAAAAAAAAAAAAGTTGAGCCTGATGCCCAAGCTGGAGTGCAGTGGTGTGATCTTGGCTCACTGCAACCTCTGCCTCCCAGGTTCAAATGACCCTCCTGCCTTAGCCCCCTCAGCAGCTGGGACTAGAGGTGCATGCCACCATGCCCGGCCAATTTTCGTGTTTTTAGTAGAGACAGGGTTTCACCAGGTTGGCAGGGCTGGTCTCAAACTCCTGGCCTGAAGTGATCACCCACCTCAGTCTCCCAAAGTGCTGGGATTATAGGCATGAGACACCATGCCCAGCCAGAAGAAAGAATTTGACCCAGGGGCTTATGGCAGAAGAAGAGACAGACCGAGGCAAGTTTTAGAGCAGGAGTGAAAGTTTATTAAAATGTTTTAGAGGAGGAATGAAAAGAAGTAAAGTACACTTGGAAGGAGGCCAAACAGGTAACTTGAGAGATCCAGGCACCGGCTGACCTTTGACTTGGGATTGTATGTTGGCATGCTTCTGGGGTCCTGGGTCCCTTCTTCCCTTCCAAAAAAAATTAGCCAGGTGTGGTGGCATGTGCCTTGTAGTCCCAGCTACTCAAGAGGCTTAAGTAGGAGGATGTCCAGTGGCATGGACAGTGCCACTTTGACAAACTTAATTGTGAAAGTCTGTAACAGCACCAAGTTCATAAATAATTGCCTGTATTTCATTCTATTTAGATAGTTTGAGGTTCCGCTAAAGGTTACTTTTGTGTGTGATGGCATAGTGTTCCAACATACTGATTTTTCTGGATGCATGGGCCGTTGTCTCAAGACTATTGAAGTCCTTCTCTGCTCATTTAACATTTAATAACATACATAACAGTTAACAAATGTTAAATACCCCCTTTAATATATGTTAAACCTCCGTGTCTCTACCCAGGTTTGCATTCTTTCATTGGTTTGTATGTTCTTGCCCTGGTTTCATGTAGCTTCGTAATGTGTTTTTGGTATCTAGTAGCAAAAGTTTCCCTTTCTTTTTCCTTAACAAAATTGTCCTAGCTCATCTTCTGCATTTCAGAGTAAGTTTTTCAAATTCTACAGAGAATTGACATGGGACTAGGGATGTGATGTATTAAATTCATAAAATTTGGGAAGAATGGACTGACATAATTGAGTCTTTTTCATTTACGAGGATGATAAATCTCCATCTATGTCAGTCTCCTGTCATTCAGTAAAGATTTACAGCTTTCTATATACAGATCATTTAAAATAAGGCTTAGCTTTGTGACTGTTTTTAAAAAGCTTCCTGTCATATCTTTGACTTGCTTGTTCGTTTCTATGTTGATATAGTGCGGCTACTCTGCTCAATGTAAACGTTTGTCAGTTTTTTTCCTGAGTATTTTCTAGCTGGGACAATTAAATCATCTGTAAATAACAGCAATGTTGTATCTCCCTGCTACTTAAAATTCTCATTACATAAGCTACAACCTGCAATGCAATTTTGAAAAGTAGCAATGGGCAGGGTGCAGTGGCTCTGGCTTGTAATCCCAGCACTTTGGGGGGAGAGAATGGCTTGAGCCTAGGGGTTCGAGACCAGCCTGGGCAACATGGCAAAATCGTGTCTCTGCAAAAACTACAAAAAAAAAAAAAAAAATTAGCCAGGTGTGGTGGCATGTGCCTTGTAGTCCCAGCTACTCAACAGGCTGAAGTAGGAGGATCCTTCCAGCCTGGGGAGGTCGAGGTAGGAGGATTTGAGCTTGGGGAGGTTGAGGCTGCAGTGAGCCATGATTGTGCCACTCCACTCCAGCCTGGGTAACAGGAGACTTTGTCTCAAGAAAAATAAACAGTAATGAAGACATGCATCTTTGTCTTGTTATTTTAAAAAAATTGTAACTTGGGGCCATCTTAAGGGTATTAATTCAGTTCCTATTGATCAGAGAGTTACATCACGCTGCTCTATCTATCCAAGCTTTACATTACATTTTAATATAGATGGCAGAGTCATCTGACAGTCACTTTTTTCTTTATTGCCCTCTCTTTTGATGTCTTTGCTCATGTTTAAACATGAGAACAGTAACTTGGTTTGGCATAAAATTGTCAGGTCATGGCTCAGTCCTTTAAACTTTGTTCTATTCTGGATTTTTTTTTTAAACTGGCCTATTGTGGTTAACATTTTCTTATCCTGGATATATGCAGAATTGTTGAACCTCATGATATAAGAACTTTGCCAAGATAGAGAGCTGCTTTCACCAGTTTCGTTTATCCTTTCTGATCTATAAAATGAGGAGTATTTTCACCTCCAAGTTTCTTCAGCTATGTCCTTGTTAATTCTGTTTTAATTACTAGGAAAAGCATCAGTTTCATGATTCACTCTTTCTTGTCCTCCATATTCGTTACCATCTTTTTGGGTCTTCTCCTTTGTGATGTTTTCTGGTCCGTGGCCGTTTCTTCTGCTTTATGGGACAAATGGACTTTCTAATGTTATTTCTGTTCGTTATCTCCAATGCTGAGTTACTGACTACCCCACCCTCCCCTCCTTCTTTTTAAGACTACAGTGGTATGATCACAACATCCACCTCCTAGGCTCAAGTGATTCTCCTGAGTATCTGGGACTATTGGTGCATGCTACCATGCCTGGCTCACTTTTAAAGTTTTGTAGAGATAGGGTCTTGCTATGTTGCCTAGTGTTAGATGTAAAATTTTCAGTGCCACAAAAGAAGTAGCACTCGAAGATAAATTTCCTCAGCAAGGCAATTTACTTCTGCAGAAGGGTGCGGCTCACAGATTTAACAGTGGTGAGTGCACACCTGGACAAGGGAGGGGAAGGGGTTCTTATTCCTGATGGAGTTCACCCCTACTGCTGTATTGTTCCCCTGTTAGCTAGGGTTAGACAGCACAGTCTAGACTAATTCCAACTGGCTATTTTAAAGGGAGCGGTGGTATGAGACACCGTGGTGGGGTACATGGTTTGGTGGGAAGGACGGTTACGAACAGGCAAGAGCAGTAACGAGGGGTCAAAGCAGATGACCAGAGCAGGTGACCAGATAAGTCAGGATGGAGCAGGGGGATGGAGGAACACATGTGAGCTACTGATTAGAACTGGTGAAAAAGGTTTTTTACTGAAACTACAAGTTAAACTTCAAAATGGAGAATTGAGTAAGAGAGCTGAACATACTGACACACTGATTCTTTGAAGAGAAAGTTGACGTTCACTCTATCTAACACTAGGATGGTCTCAAACTCCTGGAGAGCCATCCTCCTGCCTTGGCCTCCCGAAGTGCTGGGGTTGTAGGCATGAGCCACCACCCCTGGCCTGACCCTCTCTTCAGTGCAGTCATGTCTTCTGTGACAAGGTTCTCTTTTAATTTGGGGGAATGGCTTGTTTTAGGCAAAAACAAGGTTTCTTAGTCTTTTTCAGTGATAAGAACGTCTTGCAGGTATGATAATGGATTATATGTGCACATCATGACTCAGATGCT